CTTTTCCTTTTTGGAATTATTTCTACTAATACTTCTAGAAATATTACCCAGCTTTCTCTTTTAGTAAAGCCATAATTCTATTTACCTGTTTTGTAATCTTAGGCAACTATAATTATAGGAATTCCTTAGAAGATGAATGTGGTGCAAACTGAAGGAGGTTCTTATGAGCTGGTATTTAACCTATCCCTCCATCAGACAAAATAATAATAATGGAAACTCTGGGCCCTTGCCATTAAAATAGAAAAAAAAAATAGTCATTATTTACTGATTCAGTCCTCATCACTTTCAGAGCATGTGGGGCAGGAGACATCTTGTCAAACATATGGTGTTCCAAACGTAATAATGCTAAATATTTAATATTCCATAATAGTTTGTTGTCAATTGAGAAAGAGACACAGGCAAACCACKAGCCCCACAACAGAGGTAAGTTCCACTTCAGTTTCTCTAACTTGGTTTTCTTTCTTAGTTAGCTTCTATCCAAATAACTTATCAGTTTTATTTGTAATTATTTAAAAAGTACAAGAGCTGATTAAAAATAAAACAAAAAAGCAAAACAACAACAACAAAAACAATGTTRGTAAACTAGTCTTTGCTTAAGACTCCCAAACCAGCATGTCTTCATGCCTTTGAGTCCATTAATTTTCTTATTTTTCAATGCTCACTTTCTGTTTTCTCTCTCCAAAGATCATGATAGTGTTCCCTGCCTTTAAAAGAAATTGTTACAAACACTGATAGGTCTGGGATGCTAATCATGGCTATAATTCCTCACCTAGACCTAATGTATCATAACTGTAAGAATAATAATAGCAATAATTAATAATAAAATTAAAATATATATTGTAGTTAATATATACCATGTGTTAAGTATTTATATATTTTATAYCTAATTCTCATATCAGCTCCAAACAGAAGTATTTTATCTTTATTTGGACAGAGACTCAGAGAGCTTTAATAACTTGGCCAAGATCACATTACTTCTTTACCAGCAGAGATAGGATTTCTAAATCATATCTCTCTGAATCCAAAGTCTAGACAGGTTTGTACAGCAACTACCCTGCAACCCATGCAGAAGCTATAATAAAARTTCTCAGGTATGGGTTTGGCAGATGCTTAGGACTCCAAGAAATTTAGTAGCTACAATAGATAAGACAGTTTTGTTTTGGGGTGTTCCCCACATTTTTCCTCTAATTTACTACCCTTAAAAATTAAGCTAAGCTAAATCAAAACACAAAGAACAATGAAGCACATCTGCCTAAAGACATCTTTTATTCTAACCTTAAAAAATAATTTTAGGCATATAAAAATTCACAAAAACAGTAGAGTGTAASTTTCACTCATTCTTCCTGAATATTAGCATCTTGTGTAACTGCAGTACAATTACAAAAATAAGAAACCAGTAACTAGCACAATAGTATTAACTGAACAACAGACTTATTCTGGAGTTTGCACAGTTTCCCACTGCAATACTTTTCTCTGTTCCAGGATCTATTCCATGATCCCATGTTGCTTTTACTTGAAGTGTCTCTCCAGTCTAATACAGTTCCCCATATTTCCTTGTCTTTTACCACCTTCATGATTTTAAATGAAAAGCTTTAAGTTATTTTGGACTTGTCTGATGTTTTCTCCAGACTTGATGGAGATTGTGCCTTATTGGGAAGAATACCAGAGACAGTGTGCCCTTCCCAGTGCCTCAGGCTGGGGGTACATGGTGTTGGTACCTTTTTACTGGTGATGTTTATTTTAATCTCAGTTAAAGTGGTGCCTTCCAGCCTTCTACATTGAAAAGTTATTATTTCCCCCTTTGTACTGAAAAAATATTTGGGAAAGATGGAGGTACTCTGAGACTCGAAATATCCTGTTGCTCCTCAAAATTTGCCCACTGATTTTAGGATTCTTTGATGACTCTTAGCTGCAACAATTATCATTGGATTGTTCTAATGGTGGTTTTCTCATTCCTTCTACATTTATTAATCAGAATTCTTCTGTAAGAAAAAAACAGTCCCATCTTACTCTTCAATTTATTTGTTCAATTATTTATATCAGTATGGCCTCGTGATATTTATTTCATTTTATGGGTTCTAATAACAATGCTATTGTTATTTAGTTTTGCTACTCCAATTGTTCCAGTTTGAGCCATTGGCACTTGTTTGGGRTAAGCTCAGTGCCTTACCTAGCACTCTGTCCTTTGTGTGTGTGCATGTGAGTGCATGTGTGTGTGCGCGTGCGCAGCTACAGTACTTCCTCACTTTCTGGTACCACAAGATACCCCAGGTTCATCTTGTGATTCTCCTATTTCAGTCCTGGAATCAACACTTTCTGCAAAAAGACCTTGTTGCTGTGGTTGGAGATGGTATTTAGACCCCAAAGTCTGTGTGTACTCATTGCTGCTCTGGTATCATTGCTTCTGGGCCTTCTTAGAGCACAGAACTTCTTAGAACAGGAAATCTATGTGTGCATGTACTAKCCCAGCCTATACAAACATCTATATTTGTTTACATATCTATCTATGGTATATATCTTAAAAATCATGAACTCATATTGATATTTCTGATTCCAATTCCTTAATTCTGAAGTCCTTTCTTAATTACATCCAATATCTCCCCAATGCAAAGGTTAAGAGCTATGAAGAAAAAAGACTCACGCATTTCAGTGGCTTCTAGCTATTGCCTAGGCMAAAGGTCAGCAAACTATGGCTAACTGCCTGCTTTCTAGTGCACAGTAAAGAAAAATGAAGTTTTATTGGCATAGAGCCACATTCACTAATCTAGATATTGTCTACAGCCACTTTTCATGAAAACAGCAGGGTGAGTGATTGCAACAGAGACTATTTGAGCAAAAACGCTGAAAATATTTTCTATGTGGGCCTTTACAAAAAAAGACTAGGGCTGTGTTTCAAATTTTATGTAGGAAATAGAAAGGAAAGGATGTGAGTTCAAACCCCATCCTGTTTCTCTCTTCATTGCAGGGTTTTGGGAAGACTAGATACTTTATGTATAAACTTCCTAGAGCATGATGATTGCTTAACTAATGGTATCTAGAATTTCTCCTATAAGTTGGATGTCTATAATTTAGAATGGAATTTTGCACAAAAATGATCTCATTTTTGAAATATTAAGTTTCACTTTTTTTTGAGGGGGGGGGATTGTTTGTTTGGTACCAGGGATTGAACCCAGGGGGTGCTTAACCACTGAGCCACATCTCCAGCCCTTTCTAATATTTTATTTAGAGACAGAGTCTCACTAAGTTACTTAGAGCCTCCCTARGTTGCTAAGGCTGGCTTTGAACTTGTGATTCTCCTGCCTCAGCCTCCTGAGCCACTGGGATTACAGGTGTGTGCCACCAACCCAGCTTATTTCCAGTTTTAATTAGATGATGAATACAGCCCAGAGTCTGTTAGGTTTAGGGATTTGAATCCCCATGATCCTAAATTCAAATATTCATTCTATTGCTTACTAACTGTGGGACCTTTCAGCCTGTTTTACTCTCCATATAATATCCTCTCAAACCATAAGAAGCTATGTCTATGAGTGCCTTTATGCCATGGTTCCCAACACTGGCCAGAAGACCAAAGTGAACCCAGCTGCATCCAAATTAGAATAGGAATGTGTTAAAATACATGTTCCTGAGACTGGCCCAGGAATTCTGATTGAGGAGGTCTGGAATAAGATCCTCAYTGAGTATTTTAGCAAACACTCAAGGTGATTCTGTTGCAGGGCCAAGTCTAGGGACCACTGTTACTTACTAGTAAATGTCACACCACAGACCCCCTCCCAGATACCATATGAGCCCTGCATCCTCACGACTGCCCTTGCCTTCCTCACTCTGTAAATACTTGGCCCATCCAAGGGTGACTTCGGGTTCCATAGGAAACCAAAACCTCTTCCTCTGAGCCACTTCGTTGTATCCCCCCACAGGGTCCCGTAGGACTCCAGGAGCTAAATAACTTCCWCTGTGTTCCAGGACAAAACCTAATCTTCCTCCTTAAACATCTTCCTCCTTTACAAAAGTACACTCTGCAAACCTTCCCTCTTCATGCTGAGTCAGTAAATACTAAACTAATAGCCTGGTGGGATTGTAGAGAGGGAAGAGGAAACAGGAAGAAAAMCAGGAACCCTGGAGAAGAAGGGGAAAATTAAAAAGGAGTCCTATCCCCCTAGCTCTGCCCCCCAAAACCTTGGCACCCCAGGAAGACAATTCACACTTGTACAGAGCCTTTAGCCCACAGCTCAAATGCTCAGCAGGGTTGCAAGAAGAGGRAGCCCTAGTGGCTGGGACAGAGATTCCAGGGGTCTTTTGGATGTGAGGGGCACATGCCCCAGGAAGTCTAGCACATGCCATGCCTACAGACACCAAAGCACACACCTGCTTGAAAAGTGAGACTCCTTGCTCACTCTTGTGAGCTAGAAAGGGTAAATGTGTCCAGGAGCAAGAAGACAAGGAGCAACTAACTTCCAAAGTAATTTAATCTTTCATCTGTCAGAAGCTTTTTTTTTTAATTGAGGTAAAATCCATATAACATAAAACTGACAATGCACATTCCAGTGGTATTTAGTACATTCACCATGTGGTGCAACCACCACCTGTATCAGGTTCCAAACATTTTCATGATCCCCAAAGAAAACCCTAAACCCATTAAGCATTCACCCTCTCATCTACCAGTAGTGTTTTATTGTCAGAGGTTGGGRGATTTTTCTCTAATCAGATTTTATGTGGCCACTGTTGATGCCATTGTGCCAATCAAATGGCACAGGAATATTCTCTCTTCTGTCCAGGTGAGACCAGCTTTCTAGAAAGACCTATAATGTAACTTTCTCCTGTTCTACCCAGTCCAGTGGGACAGGGCCTAAGCCTTTGACTCACATACCCACTGAAAGAGTAGTTTCCTGTGGCCAATAGTCCATGAGAACAAGGACCCCACAGGGGCTCTGGGAGGAACACCCACSGTGCCCCATAGCCTGGGCTCCTCCCTCAGAATGGGTTGAATAGGGGTTAGCTCTTACCCGCTGCTTCTCTGGATCCACATAGCGAATGCCAAAGTAGTCCTTCTCCAGCAAGCTGTAGTAGTTGCAGATGTGGTCGATAAGAAACTGCCCTTTGGTTTCCCTCTGCAAGGGAAGCACATGTAAGTTTCAGTCACAGCTCACCTACACATTGTATCCACAGAAGGAAGGCCTCACTCACCCYAATGGGTCTGTGTTTAGAAAAATGRATTCACTTGTTTCTGGAGGAGGGGCTTCCATACTCTGTTAATCACAACTTCATTGAAAACATGCACATGYGCACACACAATCAAAAGAACACCAAAAAGAGGAGCCAAAGGGATATTCAACAATACCCTGAATAGACGCAATGCACTCTAGAATGCTCTATTTCATTCTAATATTTGCAAAATATGTTTTATTTAATTTTTCAAATTCTGTTTGCAACTCAGAACACTGACTTCACTTCTCAATACTTGTGGAGAACCACAGTTTTCAATCCCTCAGATAGCACTTACGAGGCCCTGGATGATTATTCTAATCACTTGTTCCATCCTCACCAGGAACCTGAGGAGGGTCCTCATTCTTACATCTGAAGAAACTGAACCACAAAGGGATTCTATGACTTGCCCAAGTCACACAACTTTACAAAACAAGGCAGGATCTCAGCTAGACCAACTGGCTGCAGATTCGAAGCTCCTACCCAGACACTRTCTCCTCAGATTATGCTGAGTCCACTGCCAGTCTAGGCAGCAGTGCAGTGAGAAGTACTGGATACTTCAACCCCACCAGGAATGTTAGGAAACCTGCTTCCTCAAGCCCTAAAGCCACCATTTCCATCCATACATCAACACAGAAAGGTACTGTGGAGATCAAGCATCCCAGGACTAGGATCTAAATACAGGCCCTTGTCATTSGGGTAAACCCTGGTTATTTCTATTTTGGTTTAGATGTTTGTGCTATACGATTTCTAAATTGGTTAGATTATCTTTCCTTCCAAAATTCCTAAAGACATACCAGCAAAATCTGATTAAGATTACATTACAACAAAACCCTCTGAATAGCAAAGACCCATCTAAACCTCCATCAGGATTCTGATAAGATTAATTCATGCTTCAATCAAAGTTGCTGACAGACCTACAGAATGTTTTAGGGATGGAATGTGGCCTATTGAAAAGAAATTAAGAAACTAGAAAGATTAAGTGAGCCATTCTTCTAATCCATTAAAAATAATTTAGAAGATTAGTTTGGCCTATGCTACATGGTGATGTCTTCATTAAAAAGTACAATCACCAGCTCAGGGATGGGGTGGAAAAGCCACTTCCTGGCCAAGGATGCACAGCGCTGGGTGAAGCACAAGTTGTGATATGAATGAAGCCTCTGTTTTCCTGCATCACTTTCTTTCTTTTTTTGACAGGGGGGTGGGTATTGGGGATTGAACCCAGGGGCACTTAATCACTGAGCCACCTCTCCTCAGCCCTTTTTCGTTGTATTTTATTTAGAGACAGGGTCTCTCAGAGTTGATTAGGCCCTCACTAAGTTGCTGAGGCTGGGTTTGAATTTGCAATCCTCCTGCCTCAGCCTCCCAAATTGGTGGGATTCCAGGCATGTGCCACTGKGCCCAGCCTGACATCAGTTTCAACTTTAATTTTGCCTGAGTTGAAAGGCCTTTATAAGAAAAACTATCTGATACGAGTCAAAAGAGACAAATCATCAAAATTGAATTTGGTTTTAAATTTCTGTGATTATTTTGTTACACCAGGAGACTCAAATGACAACCTTTATCCAACAATAGCTGATTACAATGCCCAGAATAGAATCAATAGATTTAGTTTCTCTTACACATATACTCTGTAATCCACTCATCTTAAAGAGACTGAGTATTATCAACTCACTGAACATAACACATTGAGTTCCTCATTTTATGATTGGATTACAAAGCTCACTGCATTCAGGTGTACCATGAGGAACTCTCCCTACCATATGCAGGATACACAAGATCCATGAGTCAAAGCAATGTGTTGTAATAAAATGGATGGAACAAATCTTAACTGGGCATACAGATACTGCTGTCATTTTGTCCTAAGAAATATGTGGTCCAAAGCATAATAAAGATTTTTGCTAATAATTAAACATAGTGACCAACATATATACCCCTCAGCAATATGTTCTTAGACTATCTCAAGAGCTTTGAGATAMGAAAGATACCACTGCAATGTAGTAATTGGAGTATGTAAGTGTAGCTGAAATAGGGATCAGTACCTTCCACAAAAGCAGGTCAGGCCAATTCTCACGTGCTATGGTTTGGATATCATTTGTCCAATATTGTGGTTCATGTACTGGGAGACTGGTCCCCARTACAGCTGTATTGAAGTGGTAGGGACTTCAAGAGATGATTAGATCACAGGGTACYCCACCCTGGAATGGATTAGTGTAGTTCTTACAGAACCTAGCTAATTCTTATAGGAGTAGATGGTTGTAAGAGTGACCTTGGCTCCTCCCCAATCTCTTGCTCCTTTGTTCACATGCATAGCCCTTTTGCCTGGGGCCAGTACCCTTTCCACTTCTCAGCTCATGTTGTAGCAACCAGATKTGTAACACCTTGCTGTTTATACTTTCCAGGCACCAGAATCATAAGCCAAATAAACCTCTTTACTTTATCCACAACCYAATGTTGGGTATTCTGTTATAACAACACAAATGGATTGACAACCCACARCATGGGATGTAGTCTCTGCTACTCAAAATATGACTGAAATACCAACAAAATTGAAGAGCAGCAGCCTCAGCATTGCCTAGGAAGGAGGTTGTTGGAAACAGACTCTCAGGCTCAGCCCAGATCTACTAAACCTGATCTCTTAACAATATCCCTAGGCTATTTATATCCACATTAAAGTTTGAGAAGCATTGGTCAGGAATTTCCTAACATGGGAAAAKTACAAAATTTTACCTGTCCATAGAGATGACTTAGAAAAATAAGAACCCATTTATTTTCCAAAATGATCTGTATCATAGAGTTTCATGCCAAGGAAGATGGCAAATAGCCCCCACATTCTACTCTGTTCCACTCATGCCTGGTAAATCTGGATGAGGTTTGTGAGCTACTAAAGTTTCTGTTATTATCATTTCCATGCATTAAATGCAATTCTTGCATTCAACAAGAGACCACACAAGCGCAATATCAAGTGTTAGAAAGGCTTGTTCACTGATCAGGTGTGAAGAGGCACAGCCCAGCTATCTGTCCATACATCTCACATCAGGAGAAGAACTAGAGGACAAACTGGAGTTCTGACCCAAGAATTTTTCCTGAGCCTCCTAAGGGTAGAGGCATCTTCCCTGCTGCCTAAGCCAGTAGTTAGCACCCTAGATGTTACTGAATTAATAAATGAGGCATTGCTTTTCAGACCTGGATTACCGGGGATCTGGCAAGAAAAGTGTTTCACAGAAACCCTTCAGTCTGCACAGCACTAATAGTCTCAGGCAAGACAGCAGAGTTCTCTGATTGACTATTCTTTCTATGTAACAGAATTAGCTAACTTTCATGAATTCCTTCAAGGTCTGTGTGGAGAAGTAGTTATCAAAGATTTCAAGTAAAAAGACTTTTTTTAATATCAAAATTTTGTCAGTTTTCCCAAAGGATAGCAGCTGCACTTTTAAAACTGAATAAGAGGGGGAAAAAATCAAACAGCTTATATAAATTCTTTAGAGCTGTTTCATAAATTGTGTTTTATTCATCTCGACAGCATTTCATACATGTGAAAAATGATAGGATACAAATGTCTAAGTAATAGGAGCTCCTCATACAGGGGTCACTATAATTTGATCATCTGTGACTTAAATCCTTAAGTGCTTAAGTATACATTTTTAATGTTGTCTGTAACAGTGACTATACAGTCTCAGAAATGCATGCACTGGGTGGACTGGGTATGGTGGCACACATCTGTAATCTCAGTGGCTTGGGAGGCTAAGGCAGCAGAATCCAGGTTCAAAGGCAGCTTCAGCAATTTAGGGAGGCCCTAAGCAACTTAGCGAGACCCTGTCTCTAAGCAAAATATAAAAAGGGGCTGGGGAGGTTGCTCAGTGGTTAAGTGCCCCTGGGTTCGATCCCTGGTATCAACAAAAAAGAAAGAAAAGAAATGTGTGAACTGGGTTGAAAGAATTTGTTCACCTGGACATTAAAATGTGCCAATGTCCCTACCATGTAGTGTATACAATGAATTAATATTTTATAAATACTCTACTAAAATAATGTGAACACAATCATAATATTTTAATGTTTTAAAAACCTATCAAGCAAGGTGTGGTCAAGGTGTGGTCCAYAGACTGTGCTGGAACATGAAGAGTTGTTACTAGTCCTCCATAAGATAAAGTGCAGAAACTAAGAGTAATTTAGTTTTACTCTGTTTTCTACAAGTATTGCCCAAAACAAATATTTCCCCTTTTTTTTGTGGGAAGAACATTTAATACTTACTCTCTTAACAATTTTGATATGTATAATACGCTATTATAGTTTATTTACCATGCTGAACAATAGCACTTAAAAGGAAAAACCTTTTCCTCCTGAGAGGCCATCTTCTCCCCACTCTTCCTGGGTTTTTTTTTAATTTTACATTACAATTCTTAATACACCATTATAAAATAATTTATCATATCTCTGATTAGTTCTATCATTTCACTTTAAAAGATGCATTCTGTATCTGCACCAAATCATCGGGTCATTTTTGTTCCAATGGGCAAATTCATATCAATGCTTAGAGAATCATATTTGATTTTTCAGCTCTACCTGGCAATTTTTGCCRCAGCTTAGTGCTCAGAGAGTTCTTACTTCTCCATCTTTTCTTCTTACTGTTTCTGGGTTTCATGCCACATCCAATTCTTGAAAGCATTCACCTATGAATAATTTAAAAGTTTTCTAATGCTAATCCTTTCTACAATTTCAACATATTTTTTAAATCTCATACTGAGGAAACTAAGGCTAATACTCAAATAGGCTAGTTAATTTACCCAAGGTCACTGCAGCTAGAAAGTGACAAAGTCAATATTTAAGCCCAGGTCTGCTTGAATTGGTTGTTGCATCCACATTTTTAAATGGTTAAAAAGAAATTCATCAACTTGAGAAAGAACAG